ACGACTACACTATGTTTTCATTTGTATAGTTTATGTCATCAATTTAAACTTTTTTCTTACATCCCCCTTTTTTTTTTAACATGAGACCATTGTTAAAATTTAAGCCAGAAAAAAAGTCGTAAAAACAGTAATGACATAAACTGTACAAATATGAGAATTTTTAGTGCAGTCATCAATAACATGACTGCACAATAATTGAAATTATATAGTAATAAAAATTAAAAAAAAATTACTACAAATCACCACTAGTGATTATTACTAGTAATTTATGTACAATATATAATTAGGTGTAATATGTAAACTCTTTAAACAAAAGTTTATTTGTTTTGATATTAGAGTAAAGGTAATAGTTTAATAATTTAGTTAAACAAAACTTTTAGTAAAATTTTGCAAGAAATTTTTTTTGTTAGAGCCTAAAAGGTGGTTTTATAGACAAAATTTTGAGATATGATTGATTTTTTAAAAAATTCTTTGTTTTTGTTACACAAAACTGATTTGTACATTATACCTGATCTTGCAAATTGATTGGCTAATTATGCACTAGTGAATGATTATCAGTGCAAACTTCAAATTAAAAACACAAATAATTAAAACAAGAATTTTATAAAGTTTTAGAACAAAAGCAAATCTCAATATTTATAACAATAATACTAACTCATCATATGAAACAATTTATATTACTAATTAAAACTTAACTATTCTTCTAATAGATATTGATTTGAATCTAAACAAACTCTAATTCATATACTATAACATTAAACCTAATTTTCAATACAATGAATTATTTTCTAATGAAAAACTTTATTTAACTTGATAAATCTAATAAAATAATATATATTATTTGTAACCATTTTATTCAATGCTATTCTATATTCTAATATATTATATGAACACCAACTTAAAAAATAAAAAAAATCAAATTTTCATTATTTCAACTTGAAACAACATTAATTATATTAATTATACTACAATTATATCAATGCTAACTAAAACAAAAATACCCAAACAATCATTTAACAAGAACTTAAAACCACAAAAACTTCAATACAATTCACTTAATTTCTTAATTTCTTAAGCTTTATACAATCATCAATTATTTAAACTGTAAAACAGAACAGTCAAACTCTTTAATCTACATCGACAAACAAAACCTACAAAACCAAAACAGATAAGCAAAAATTTCTTATTAAGCAAAATCAACTCCAAAACCCAGTAACACATACTCAATAATCAACAATTTTTAATTTTCAAAAGAACAAAACCATATAGCAAATAAGCTACATATACACGTATATATACAAAAAATCCACCACACTAACCATGTAAATTATATATTATGTAACAATATAATCCTCATATTACGCTATCCTTCCAATCGCCAGTAAGTATCAACCCTAATCGACTTTAGTCAATTACTACAACTATCTAAAGCCAATTCTTCAAGATCAACTACCTTTATTAAATAGTATTACATTACTCATTCCCTACAACTAAAAATACTATTTATTACAAACATAACACACCGCTATCTCTCTCATATTTAAACAAAAAAGATCACAAGAAAAAAAAATCAAATTACAAAAAAAAAACACAGATCACCAAAATTACCGAACTCTACACTACTCAAAAATCTTTATCCTCCCCGATATACTAACTATTCGCACACACATTTACTGATACTAAAACTCAAAATTCCATTAAAGCACTATAATCAATTTTTAACCCAACATTAAAAAACAACACAAACAGAATTAACCTTCAAATACTAAATACTACAACCGATCCCAACTTACCTAAATAGTAAATACTTTAAAATAACAACACTAAATTAAAAAACTCCAGCGCATTGATCAGCGCACAACTTATTTACTATATACTCTTATTATCATCATTTAATATATCTATCATTCCGCTTAATTCTTTTCTCAGCCTTTCGATATCTACACCTAATCCATCGAGATCTCTGCGAGATACAAGTAATTGATCATTGACACGTATAAGATTTGTACAAAGATCATATGTAGCATCGAGTGTTTCTGAGGGTATTGGAGTGTTAGCAGATGGCAATTTAGTTAAATGCTCGATAAGTGACGAGGACGTTGTGAACTTTAGAGGTTGAGCTGTAAAAATATTAAAATATTTTTAGGTGTTGATCGAAATTATTATTTTTTTTTTTTATTGAGAAAATAAATTTAAAAAAAAAAAGTTTACATCTTTCTCCGGATCCATCGGTTTTATTATTTTCGTTATCAATGTCAGTATTGACTATTTCTAAGACATCTATTTTTTTGCCAATAGCTTGCTTATTGTAAGCTTGTAAGCGGGTTAAATCCGATAAAATGTCATTAAATGAAAGAGGTGGTGGTGGTACTGGAGAAGTTGGCTTACGTTTAAACATTTTTTTTTAGGGAAAAATATACGATCAGCCAATCAATATTATTCTGCAGTATGATTAAGTATCCATTTGATTGGTCCGAAATATTACCGATAATTAAAAACTAAAAATACACGTGCTGAGTTAATAATTAAATTTAGTAATTGCCCATTTTACTAATTCGTCGCAACAGATCTTGCATTCAATTTAATATTGCTTTAGTGAGTCTAATATAACAATAATTATGTTTTTTAGTATCCTCTCTTTTCCATTTCGACAATCCATTGTCACTTTCAATACCCTAGCCAATCCATATTTTTACCAAGTTCGTGGTGTTACCAGACTTTGGGGACGTGGTGATGTAAAGTATCCTCCTCCAAAGCCATTTAACAAAACAGCGCGATATAGAGGCATGCTGAAGGTAAGAATTCAAATAATGTGATCGATGATTTAGGTTTCTCGCAATTAAATTATTCTTAACCTCAGGCGAAACGTAAGCGATTACGAGTGAAGAAGACACCATAAATACTATTCTAACATAGTAATCATGCGTAAAAAAAAAAATCGTAAATTTATCTGCACCAATTACATGTTGCCACCAAAATTGTTCTAAATCATATAAATGCGTTAGTCGGTCTGAAACTCTAAAATACAAAAAAACATGGAAATTTTTAAAAGCATAAAAAATATATTACCAATTTTTTTGCTGGTTGTATTAGTATTTGCACCGTTTTTGGGTATCCTTTTCAAATCACGTAAAGCTTTGATATGAAATCTTAAAAACATAGATAGATACAAAGTTTTAGCAAATTTATATATATATACTTGTTATTAAGACAAAAATAAGTTTTTGTGAATCGTCGACTTCACTAGTTGTTTTTTTTTAAATAAACAGCGTTTTTCCGTATATAAATATTTTTTATTATGTCATCCTTAACGATTAATAAAACTTTTAAGCGCTTAGTAAAGAAGAGCCAACAATATATGGACAACCAGAGACTGTAGAGATCACTGGTGAATTCACGGACAATCCGTTTAGTCGTAGGTATTCAGTTATATTTTATAGTGTTATTACTTCTCCTTTTAATGTTCTTTTTTTTTTATTGCGTAGAGGTCGTAAATGGACAAAAGAACACTGTAAAACTAATTTTTGACAATAAAGGAACATTAAATTATACTATCAATGCAATTGCTGGTGCTTTGGTTAACAAAGACAATCCAAATGAGATTTATCGCAATGTAAGTAGCGTTCACTCATGTTATTACATGTTAATTTCTGCCATTTTTCGGTCATTTTTGATTAATTATTATTTGTGTTGAATAATAGTTAACCGCCGCCAAGTATTCCCTCAAAGCACCTTCAATGGATCATGTTGAAGTTCCATATTATTTTTATGCTGAATTTCCACCACAGGAATTGGATATCATTTTGTTTGTCTTCTTTTCTGACGATGTAAGGAATTATTCATTTAGTTTTCAAATTTAATTATTTTTACTAACTTGTTTTTATCCAATAGGAAAAACGTCAATTTAGAGGTGTTGGATATAATGGAACGGTCACTATTGTCGATCCAGAGCATTCATTATTTGATCTTCAACTGTAAGTGTTTATTTAAAATATATTTTGTCGATATTACATTTCAAATATTGATTTATTATTGACTATCTCGGAAATGCGGATTAGCATTTTCTTGTATATTTTGCTCTTCGGCATGGTTGCAGGTATAGGATACATGATCTATCAAGCATTCTTCGGAGGAGCTAAAACTAAAAAGAGCAAGAAGGTATTTTTCTTTCAAAAATTTTTTTCTTTGTATTCGTGTCTTTAAACAATGGATTTATTTATTTATTTTATTTACAGCGTCCTATTGTCAAACAAGAGGATGTGGCTACTGGTACAAGTTCATCATATGACGAAAACTGGATTCCTGAACAACATTTAAAACAAACAAGAGCATCCTCTCGTCTTAAAAAGAAATCTGAATCTTAAAGTATTAAAGTGTACATTTAGTTAATACACGAGTAAGCTATTTTAGAATAAATAACATTTTTTCTTAGTTTTTTTTTTTTGAATTAAGACGAAGTTCTCCGTCTTATAATTTTCTAGAGATTGTAAGTTTGTTTTTAAAATAATTTATTGATTATTTCATATTTGAATAGAGGGTAAAGTTTATTTTTAGTATTAACAAATATATTATCTTTTGCATATTGAATAAAAATATATTATATTCAGGTTTGCCAATAGAATATTTTAGTTCACGAATAGAACAATAGAGCATTTTTTTGTTACTTATAAAAAATTTTTGTTTTAAATACATATGTTATTAGATTAAGAGTTAAATACATTTATAATAATTTAATATAAAAAATTTACAATACAACGATAGAATAAAACAAGTAAAATTTACAATAAACTATATAGTCTGGTGCAAAAAATTTACAATAAACTATATATAGTCTGGTGCAAAAATATAAATATACCAAACTGAAGTTAAATTTGTTTATATCAAATTTTTTAATTTTACCTATTTTTTTCTAATTTATTAATGAATAAGATAAATTTTGAGCTATTTTTTGATAGATATTTTAAAATTAATTTTTTTTAAAATTAAATTTTTTTGCAAAAAATACAGTTGATACGTACTCTAAAGTGTATATATAAATAAGTTAACCGGAAAATTGAATTACATTAGCCAATGTCTGACCATGAGGTTGGTTTCTAGTCAATAATCACGTAGAGGCGAATTTTTGATGGCGATACTGGTAGTTGTGAGTTTTTTGACGAATCAGCCCAACGAGACAAAAACAAAAAAAAAAGTGAAAAAAGTGAAAAACGCGAAACAAGTATCTAACCTGTCTCGAGGTACTCAAAAAATGTCTGGAAGACAATTTTACCTATAAGACTGCTCTAATCCTAACCTTTTTAACTAACCCTTTACCCTAACTTTAATTAAATAATCAAAAACATATGAACGAACCTGTGTTACAAATCGGCAAAATTTTTTCAATCGATTAGTTGGTTAATTATTTTTTCCAGTTGGTTGCAACTAATCGATTAATCGACGAATTGCAACTAATCGATTAATTAATCGATTAGTTGCAACTAATTCATTATTGCGGTTTGCAAAATTATGTGAAATTTGAAGATCAATAAAAAAAAAAAAGTAATCACTAATTTCCAATTACTGATTTCCGATTTCTTCAACATTTTTTTTGACTTTTAGACTAGACAAAATTTGCGCATTTATCATTTGTAAA